GAGAGCTGGTTTCACAGAGATATATTGCTTCAGATTTTCTTTGCTGTGAAAGGTTTTCCTTTGTCTTTCTGCTATGAATGAAAGCTTAGCTGGGTAGAATAAGCTTGGTTGGTAGTTATTTGACTTGGAGTGTGGCATACCTCTTTCCAGGCCATCGTTGCTTTTATGGTGTCTGCTGACATGTCTGAGGTAATTCTGCTTGGGTTACCTTCATATGTGATTGTTCTCTTCTCCCTGACAGCTTTAAGAATTCTCTCTTTACTGGCTATTGAGCTGGTATGGATTATAATGTGGAGGTGGGATGACCTGTTCTTGTCTGGTCTAGCTGGGTTCTAAAGCTTCTTGTATCTGGATGGGCCTGTCTTTTTGTATATTTGGAAAGTTCTCTGTTAGGATTCTGATGAACATACATCCTAATCCATTGGCTTCCCTCTACAGCCCCTGTGATATACCTGTTATACTCAAATTAGATTTTCTGAATGTATCCTCTATTTCCTGCAGTGATCTGTCGTGCTTCTTAGTTTTGTTATGAATAACTGTGTACTCTTTATCTCTAAACTGTCTTAAGCCTCCGATATTCTTTCTTCAGCCTCCTCCATTCTACTTTGAAGGTTTTTTACTTTGGTGTTTATCACCTTTCCTTCTTACAGGTCTTTCTTAATGGTGGCCAGCTCCTTATTAAGGTTTTCTTTTAAGTCTTGAATAGACTTTCACCTCCTGGAGTTGGTCCTCAGACTTTTCATTTCACTACTTAACCTGGATTCCTATCTTTTCATTAGCTTCTTTCTCCATCTGCTGGAATTATTTAATCTTTTTCTTTATGGAGGTCATGAAATCATCTATTAGCTTATGGTTGGCCTAATCACATTTTCTGATAACCCTATGCAAGGTGTCCAATTTTTTATTGAGCAGGTTTACCAGCCATTCTTTTAATCTATCTTGAGCATTATCCTCGATGTCATTCTAGGACTGCTCTGTAGTTTATGTGCAGATGGTGTTGGGATTTGTCAGTTGGCCATTTTACTTGTGTTTCTGTGATTAGTTCTACCCACTTGGAGACAAGAACCACACTGGTGCGACAGTAATACAGTGTTGTTGTTGTTGTTTTGGACCAGAGCCAACCCAGTGTCATGTAGATGTATAGATCTTAGGGTTTCAAAGTTATGTGTAGGTATTTTCCTATTTAGCTCTCTTTTTCTTTTCTTGGAGAGGGATATTGTGGCTTTGGGGTCAAGATGATGTACACTTGCAACTTTTGAGACAATCTGTTTTTGGCTGATAAGTAGTCTGCTCCTTAGAGTTAACAAGATGGGTCCCTTGTACTCAAAATAGTCAAATGGAACCAATTTTGTGGTCAACTATAGAACCAACTGTAAGTTGGTTCAGATATAAACTGTTAAGGATCAATGAGCTGGAACAGATGGAGGAATGAAGAGTTAGGATTGGAGAGATATGAATTTAAGTTCAGAAGAGAACTTGGTTATAATGATAGAAGAGGGTAAGAACAGATTATGGGATGGGTATATGTAGTAGGAGAATATAGACCTTGTTACTGAGTATAAGTGGTGGAAATGTATTCGAAGAAAGGTTATGTAGGGAATCGATTAGAAATCCAGATGAAGGTAAGAAAAAGAATTATATGTAAGTGTATTTGGGAGACTTGCTGAGATTAGAGAAAGATTATTCAGATATTATTGGAGAATCGCTGAATCTAAGTCAACTCTTATAATTATTGTTTACACACATAGAAGGAGACCTTAGTTTGTGTAGAGAACTAGGCAGGCTAGCTCTGATTGTGTAGGAGTATAATGCGGAGAGAAAGGAGAAGAGGAGAGTGACAGGAAAAGAAAGAAGGAAAAAATCCTTACAAATTAGGAGATTGAAAAGTGGAAGATAAAAAATAATAATGACAAATAGAAGCCTTAAGTGTAATAGCAAATCCTAAATCACAATACATATTAACATATAGAAATAAAAACAAACAACAAATGATCGGACATAAAAACCAACAAAATGGCCTGGGAAGGTGGCTCAGTGGTAGAGTGTTTGCCCCACATGCATGAGGCCCTGAGTTTGACACCTCAGCACCACTTAAGCAGAAAAAGCTGGATATGGTGCTGTGGCTCAAATGGTAGGGCACTAAACTTGAGCTGAAGAGCTGAAGTACAGTGTCCAGGCCATGAGTTCAGCCCCCACCACAGACCAAAAAAAACTAACACAACTAAACACAAACAAGAATTAAAAACTAAAGAATGTATTTTTTTGGTTCTTTGGGGAAGCTTCAGTCTTCCTGTAGTCCTCAGAGTAGATTCCTGATAGAAACTTGTATGCCTTGCTGTAGTCCACTTTCCTTGTGCCTTGGTTGGGAGCAGATGGCCTTTTCATGGGGGAGGCTCCCTGCTATCTACAGTCCCACTCTCAGGCCTGGTGGAAGGGAGTTTGAGGGGTTTCAGGTTTTTAGGCTGCTATCATAGCCTGGAGCTGTGTTCTCAGGCTTTCCCTGGTAGCCACAGGAACTTTAGGGACAGAAGTTATGTCCATATTCTGTTCTGGTATGATCCCTAACTTTTGGAAGGGGGCTTGGGTCAGAGGGCTTTGGAATCCCACAGTGAATTGCCTTCCAGGGAGTGGACCGGCTGGGTTACTCACAAGGTCTGTAGCTGCTGGTGTGCTGGACCACAGAGCCTGTGCTGTGGTGGGTGGGATGGAGTTGGCAGGTTCTCATTGAGAGGGTCTGGGTGTTGGCAGGTGCAGGTGGGGGGTGGCTCTGCTGATGCTGAAGGGTCTCCTCTGTGGGGGCGTGGGGAAGACAAGGCACTGGGAGGACAAGGTAGAGGTTCAGGGAGCACGATGGTGTGGACTGCAGCAGGGGAGGCATGCTGGTCTGCAACAGAGGTGTTGGGAGGTGGCCGGTGGTGGGAAGCCTTGGGTGTGGCTGCCGGGGGCTGCTAGGTGCATTTGCAGAGATGACTGTAGCAGTTTGGTGGTGCCTCAGCTGTGAGAGCCTGGGGTCTCTCTATGGTTGTCTCTTATGTCAAGTTTCTTTCTGGCTTTTCAGTGAGTACTTGCCTCAAAGAGTTATCTAGAATAACTAGTGAATTTGTTATGAATAGTATCTAGTTATTAAAAATAAATGGTAATCAAAACCAAATACATGGGATGAGGAGATAGCAGGAGAGATAGCAATGCATGTGTACTATCATTTTTATAGTTCCAAGAAAGAATTAGTGATACCATAGTTCAAGGATCACACATGCAGCTCAAGGTTTGAAGTAGGAGAACATAAAGAGGAACAGACTCTGGAAAAGACACAGTTTAGATATGAAAACTGGGCTATTTAAAGAACTCGATAGACTGTGTGAAAAATCCTAGAATCCAAAAATAACATATCCAACAGACACAAGTTTAGTTCAACAATGACCTCAGCAAAACAGCTGAGAGGGATCCAAAATCTCTGAGTTGGACCTGAAGAGAATGATTTCTTCTAATTCACTAGCTTTATACAAATGGGGTTGGAATTTGAAAATCATTTGTAGTCATCATCCCAGGCTTTATAGAGAATACATATGGAAAGAAAGATCACGATGCAGACCTGTGCTTCTTCCGTTGTTGTGATAGCCACACTCTTCCTACTGAACTGACTGGTAACATTTTCCACATTTCATAGTCCATCCTGTAGTGGGATAATTTCAATCTCACAAATGTTTGCTAATTTTTGTTTTCTGTTCTCATCTTTATTTTTGACTAAGTAATAAATGAGTATCATACTAAACACATACACGGCAGGAGAACCGTACTAGTACCAGACAGACAGGTATTCCAGTTTTCTGCCAAAAAACATATGCCTTTGTATATATTTTGGCAGAGGGGCAAACTACCACATAATGCTCAAATGGAGCACAGGCTTCTGCATTTAACACCTTGTGACATAACTATCTAGATTTCTTTTTTGAAGCCTCTCAATAGTGTGTACATATATGCGTATATATACAGAGATATTTAAAATTTATTTTTGCCAAATGAAATTAAAAATTATTGGATACATGATTCTACAGCACTTATAGTCCAAGATTTTTCTTTACGGCTATTTAACTATTAAGGGGCTGGTGCCACTATGATATATATAAGTTGGACTCTACAATATGGTTGGAGCTTTTGCTCTCTAATTGATCAATCTTTTCATTTTCTAGAATTTCCTTGGTTATCTTGCTCATAATTTTTTATTATTAAGTAGTTGTACAGAGGAATAGTTTCTGAGCATAATATATCTTGAGCAATGTCACCCCTTCCAACATCCTCATCGTCCTTTTTCTACCCAGCCCTTCTCTCACTCTTCTTATTTTTATAGGTAATACATTAGATTCTTGACTGCATTCTCCCTCTATTCTCCTCTTCATTAAGCTACCCCTCTTCCTCTTGACCCCACCACTTTTGAGTACACAAATCTTGGTGTTTAATTTTGCTGAACTTTGGGTTTTGTCTGTCTAGGGAATTGTAATATTTGTAATTTGACATATAAACATTAAAATATTCTTCCAGAAAATTTGTGTTACATACATCTTTGAATAACAGCATATTGACATACTGACAGGAATCATCTACATTTTGATTCTATCAACCAAAAATTAAGTCTTTTAGTGATACTTAAAAGAGGTGTCCTGAGTTTTTCTGACTTTCATTCCACAGTATTTCATTACTTATCATTTAACTTTTTGTTTTTTTGTTTGTTTTGGGGTCCGGTCGTGGGGCTTGAACTCTGGGCCTGGGCACTGTCCCTCAGCTCTTCAGCTCAAGGCTAGCATTCCATCACTTGAGCCACAGCACCACTTCCGGCTTTTTTCTTCTTGCTTATGTGGTGCTAAGGAATCGAACCCAGGGCCTCAGGCATGCAAGGCAAGTGCTCTACCACTGAGCCACCTTCTCAGCCCCTTCATTTACCTTTTTATGAACAACTTTTTACTTAAAATATTTTATTAGCTTTAAATTTGATGTGTTACATAGGCTAGTAATTCTTCCAATATGTCTTCTAATCATCTTATTAGTTACACTAATAGGATTGATGTTAAGTTCAGGTTTTATACAGCAGGCCCTAATATATTCATTACTTTTTTCATTTCCATTGTAGCTTTTGTTTTTTGATATATTTAAACTCAATATTTATTATTATTATTAAGGAGTTGTAAAAAGCAGTTATAGTTCCACAATTCGGATTATGAGTACAATGGATCTTGGGTAATGTCCACCCTTCTCTCACTTTCCCCTTATTTTTTCCTCTGGTCCCTACCCAAAAGTACATCATTCATTTTTAATATAATGTTTGTTAAAACATAACTACATTTGCTCACCATCCCTCCATTCCTGTGTCCCCTTTTTGTTTTCATCTTTTTAAACAGTAGCATGATATCAATTTGAAAATTAAGATTCAGACAAAAGAATGGCTTCTTTATTACCTCCTAATAGAAATCCTGAGTCTATTCTGTTTTGTTGACACTGATGTAAAAACCACCAAACGTTGCACCCCATAGATCCTCTTTCTTGGGTTTTTCAGCACACTTTTTTTCGATTGTTTCAATCTCCTTTGTCAGTGAACGAATCTTGGTATCCATATGTACATATTCCCTTTTAAAACTTTCCTTAAGCATTTCTTCTTGAATCTACAAAATAAAAAAGTAAACCCTGAAAATAAAACTCACTGAATATCAAGAGTTTTCCCTTAACAACCCTAGGAGCTAAGGATGTCTCTCTCTCTCTCTCTCTCTGTGTGTGTGTGTGTGTGTGTGTGTGTGTGTGTGTGTGTGTGTGTGTCTGTCTGTCTCTCTTTCCCCACAGTGTTCTTTGATGCATTTGTCTAATGTTTCCTCCTGATTCATAGGTAGTAAGAACATATGTGGTCCTAGCTCCCTGCAATTCTCTCAGGAAGGTGGGAGGAGCTGGCAAAGGCAGGCTCACAATTATCTTTGTGATATATCCCAGGCCCCATCCAGACTCACCTTCAGCTTGTGTTCCAGCTTCTTTTCCTGATCTCTGATCAGATTCTCTCTTTCCCTTTCCATCTTCTCCTGTAGTTTAGCCATATTTTCCTTGTAGCTTTTCTCTTGGGCCTCCATCTTTTGCTGCTGCTCCCTCTGTTGCTGTCTTAGCACCTCCCGCTCCTTCTCAGCTGCTTTCTTTGCAGCCCGCTCAGCTATTCCACATTTGTTTTAGGGAAGAAAAACATCAAGAATCAAGCCTTAACCCTAACCTCCTGGGATCAAAACCCAAACTGTCTCTGAATTTTTCCAGCGATCAAACCCAGGCACATGAGAGAATGACATGGAAATGTGCTGCCACACTGGCTATGACAAGACCTGACCTCTTGTTTTTCAGATTTAGCATCTTGTACATTCCAGTGTAGAACAGGAAGCTCCTTTCATAAAGATCTTCATGTCCATCAGTTAAGGTTTTCAGGAACCAACCCCCTCTTCTGAAAGCGTTACCTTCCCCAGTACCTGCTATGGCCTTCACTCCAGCAGTGAGAGCTTTGTCTGAGTGTAGGATAAATTTTTCTATAGCATCCTGGGACTGCAGGAATGTCTGGAAAACCTCATTTGCCTAGGAGACCAATAAACAAGTGGAATATGTCAAACAACAAAAGTCTATTCTCTTGTTACAGAAATTATTTTCTTCTAAATCCTGTAAAATTTCAATTATCTTCAAGATTCCTCTGTGTCTGTTCCTTCTTGAACCATAATAGCAAAGCCAATCTCACTTGTAGTGCTTAGAAAGATTTTATAGCATTCTGTCCTTGCTCTCCAGTTTTTTTTCTTTCACTGTGGGGCTTGAACTAATGACCTGGCTTCTCCTGACCTTTGTGCTCAAGACTAGCACCATACCATTTTGAACCACAATGCCACTTCTAGTGGTTAATTGGAGACAACCGTACCACAGACTTTCCTGGTGGCTATGAACTGCAATCCTCAGATCTCAGCCTGCTGCATAGCTAGGATTATAGGTGAGACACCAGCACCCAGCTTCCAGCTCTTTTTTTTGAAACAGAGAAATCCATTGCTATTCCAGGATATCAATGAGATTTACATGTACCTAAACTGTATAGCCTCTGTCTGGACACTGGTGGCTCAGACTTATAAATCATATCTAGTCAGAGACTGAGATATAAGGCATTCTCATTTGAAACAAGCCCAGGTAGAAAAATCCACAAGTATCTATCTCCAAAATAACCAGCAAAGAGCCACACTGAAAGCATGGGTCAAATGTGAGTGCACCAGACAAGAAAGCAAGCTGAACAAAAAATAGGAATCCTAGGCTCAAACCCAGTACCAAAATAAATAAATAGATGGATAGATAGACGGATAGATAGAAAGATGATAGATAAAGAGAGAGAGAGAGAGAGGTAAACTAATATCCCTACATTCTATTCTTCTACCAAGATACTTGTATTCTTCTTTTAAACTACATGGAATCCTCTGAAAATTCATCTTGACTTTCATTCTACTCTTGGAGATATCTTTCCTGAGCTAACTCTAGAGTTCTGTATGGCTATCCTATGAACTGTTTAACAGGTTTCCCGAGTACAGGCTCTAGGAATTTTCAACTTGTTAGCTTCCCTATGCCTCACATTTCTCAGCTACAAAACTTGGATAATGTTAGTAGTAATTTATAGGATATTTCTGAAATTCGAATTATACTTGTTCAAGTAAGATGAAATTACAGGTGCCTGAATATTCATGATATAAAATAGGGTGTTGAAATTGAGACATAGTGGTGCCTACTTCTAATCATAGCATTGTGGAGGCTGAAATGGAAGTGATATGAGTTGGAATATGAAACACCTTGAGTTAAATCAAACAAAAAGAAAAAACCCAAAATGAACCATAACACATAATTGTGAATATGTGTGAGCATTATTAACAGTCATATTGTTACCATATTAATACCATATTTATTTTTACTTGGTGTTCATGCCAGCATGACATACCTTATCTTGTTAAATTCAATTTAATATTTGGTTCTGAGGCAAGACTATCAGTTTTTGTGAATAGACCAAAGGGGTATCTTTAATTTTTAAATCTCATCAACTTGTCTAAGAGCCAATCGAATAATTTGGCCCATGAAAAAATTCTACTCTATCTGGGAGTTTCTGGTTTAAGAATAAATAATGTTGGATATAGAAGGAAAAATGCAGACTTTCTTCTCACAAGTGATTCTGTGTTCTTTAATAATGAGATTTTCTGATTAACTGCAATTCATCCCCTTATTCCTCACCTTCACCCCTCTCCTGGAAACTAGCTTGTAGTCCTGCTCAACCTTCTTCTTGCCTTCCAGGTAGAGATTATGCCCTCCAGGTATAGAGAAAGTGCCATTGGAAATGCTTTCTATTAAAGACTGGGAAATTTTCTCCAGCTCCATCTGGCAGTATTTAACAGATGCATCTTCATTCTGTTGGATGAAATCTTCCTTCTTTCTCTCTATGGTGTTCTGTTAAGACCATAGGAATACAGAACAAAGAAGGTATTAGAAAGAAAGTCTATGGTGATCTACCTGGAGAAAGTAAGGTGAAGGCCTAAGTACACATTGGGACAGAGAAAAACTGCCTGGGTAATATTGATAAATCCCTGAACATTCTGGGAGCCAGGCTCATTCTCTATAAAATGATGGGATTCACTCACAGTACACACATAATTCTTTTAACAGCCCAGTGATGAACAACAATAAAGCCATAAAATAAGCAATGTCAAGTGGAACGTGGCTAAAAGGACAGTTATCTTAGGATGTGTGTTGCAAAGATGAAAATGCATACATTAAAAATGTATGCAATTATCACTGAAGTTTCTCATATGTTCATACTTTTGGAAACATTCATTAATTCACACAATGCACATATAGGCACATATGAAAAGTGCTGTGTTGTGCTTTTATCACAACAGCAACTTGATTGTAGAGCCTGAAGTTATGACCTCATATGAATGCCCTGAAAGAGCACTTGTGGGCTTATCCAATATCCACACACTATACTTACGATAAACAGGATAGTATGTCATATGTCCATAATGGTATATCATAAATATATAAATGCAATTTGGCTTTTTTTAATGCTGTTCGTGGGGCTTGACCTCTGGGCTCTGTTCCTGAGCTTTTTGCTCAAGGCTAGCACCATTTGAGTCACACCAGCACTTATGCACTTCGGCTGTTTAATTGAAGACAACAATATCATGGGCTTTCCTACCCAGATTGGCATTGAACCATGATCTTAGTTCTCAGTCTTCTGAGTAGGTAGGATTACTGTATGAGCTACTGTGCCTGGGTTTTTTACTTGCCAACCATTTTGTAATTTATTATGCAACAATAAAAGATAAATGTCTGGTACCCGTCAGCCTATAGGAATTTTCACACTCATAAAATTCCAGGCTCCTAAAAGTACAGATAGGAAATGATCAATAGGATTAAAATGATGAACATAAGCATTGTCTCAAAAGGAGAAGACGTCATGAAAGGCAGACCAGGAGCGGACATCGTACCATCAGATCCTTTTGAAACTCCCACTTGTCATCCTTGAATGATAACTCCATGAAGACTGCGATGGCTTCTCTTTCACAGGCCGCATGCACATCCAACAGCTCTTGGAAGTCCTCAGTGGGGAGCCTCAATTGCTGAGCCATGTGCTGGCTGTAGTGGTCGGCTGCCTTCTGCACAGTTGCTGAGTTCTCTCACTGGGCCAGGGTAGTCACAGCGTTTTCCAATCATGGCACTGCTCCACTGTTGATAGCACTGACATAAGTCTCCACCAGAGTCCCCAGTCCTGGGTGTGCCCAATATTTAAGGAGAAACGTCAAGTTACACTTCTGTTTTATTCTACAATTAGCATTCTGAAAAACATTAAGACTTTAAACAACTTTCACGCTTTTTGGTGATATCATGGCTTGAACTCAGGACCTTGAGCTTACTAAGCAGGTGCTATATGAATAGAACCATGCCACCAACACTTTTTGCTTTTTTTCCAGTCCTGTGGCTTGAACTCAGGGCCTGGGCACTGTCCCTGAGCTTCTTTTGCTCAAGGTTAGCACTCTACCCCTTGAGCCATAGTGCTACTTCTGCCTTTTTCTGTTTATGTTGTACTGAGCAATCAAGCCCAGGGCTTCATGCATGCTAGGCAAGCACTCTACTACTACACCTACATTCCTAGCCCACTTTTGCTTTGAAATTATTTTAAGGATAGCATCCTATGTATATACCTGTGCTATCATGAATTGTGAGCCTCCTATTTATGCTTTCTGCATATCTGTGTTAATAGGCACAAGCCACCATGCCTAGTTACTGATTGAGGTAGCTTCTTCATGATTTTTTGCCCTACATTACCCCAATTTTTATCTTCCCAATCACTGATTCCTGAATAGCTGATATGAAATCCTTTATCTTATTTGACAAAGTCTACTTCTGGTAGTACTGTTTTTCCTATTCATTATTTTTCTTCAGGCTCTTAATTCACACATTACAATTAGTTCATGATAACCACCAATATGATCAGTGTATTGTCCAGAGAATTCCATATAAAGTTAAAAAAAGAGCAGAAGACACAATGAAAGTGAATGAAGTTTAAAAATGAAAACAATTATCTATCTTTTGGAACACAATTCTAAATAACAATGAAAATCTGCATGTACAGTTAACAAGAATTTCATGACAGAACCATTTCCTTTTTAACACACACACAGACACACACAAGCACACAGACACACACACACACACAGACACACACACACACACACACATATATGTCTAATAATACTCTCCAGATTGGTTACACTTACATGAGTAAGGTAATTAGTACATTTTCTATCAAGTATTATTTCCTCCTCATCCCTTTCCTCCCCACCAACTCCAACTCATAGCGCCCACCACTGAAGTTGTAAAGTTCATTTTCAACATAGTATCTTGTACATCTCATTGCTACAATGGGTCAACCTGTATCCATATTCCAGGGCATCGGAATCAAACACAGTGAAAATAGGGGTTATAACATGGGGGAAGAACATACAAAAGAAACAAAAAAATAACCTGGTACACTATAAATACATTAAAAACAACAGCAAGGAAAATAAAAACCACTTGTGTCCCTATCTTGGGGTTCATTTCACTTAGCATCATCTTATATGGTCATATGTACATTGGCTTTTGATCTTTTCTGCTTGTCCTAGACATATACTATTTGTTGCAAATAAGGGAAGCTTTGGGACCTATGTTTCTTTGAGCCTGACTTACTTCACTTAATATATATTTTCCAATTCTTTCCATTTCCTAACAAATGGGGAAATGTCATTTTTTTTGATGGAGGCATAGAATTCCTATATATATACATATACATATATATATATATATCACATTTTCTTGATACATTCATCTACTGAGGGTATCTGGGTTGGTTTCAAATCTTAGCTATGGTGAATAATACTGTGAAAAACCAGGTTATTTGAAACTCAAAAAATTAAATCCCCCAACAACAAATCCTCAAATAAACAACTGCCCAATAAATAAGTGGGCTAAAGACTTAAAGAGAAAATTCTCTGAAGAAGAAAGAAGGATGGGCAATAGACACATGAAGAAATGTTCAACATCCCTAGCCATAAAGAAATGCAAATCAAAACACCATTAAGATACCACCTCACTCCAGTTAGAATGGCAAAAATCAAGAACTCTAACAACAACAGATGCTGGAGGGGATGTGGACAGAAGGGAACCTTACTTCATTGTTGGTGGGAATGTAAACTTGTTCAACCACTTTGGAAAGCAGTATGGAGGTTCCTCAAAAGACTTCACATAGAACTCCCCTATGACCCAGCAATCCCACTTTTGGGCATTTACCCAAATGTTTACAAACAAGACCACACTAAAGCTACCAGCACAACTATGTTTATTGCAGCTTTATTTACCATAGCTAAGATGTGGAACCGACCCAGATGCCCCTCAGTAGATGAATGGATCAAGAAAATGTGGCATATATACACAATGGAATTCTTTGCCTCCATCAGAAAGAATGACATTGCCCCATTTGTTAGGAAATGGAAAAACTTGGAAAAAATTATATTAAGTGAAGTAAGCCAGGCCCAAAGAAACATAGGTCCCATGGTTTCCCCTTATTTGCAATATCTAGTATATGTATGAGTCAAGCGGAAAAGGTCAGATAATGTGATGTTAGGAAAATGAACCCATAGATATGTATTTTAATGTTTTTTTCTTTCATGCATATGTTTCTAACACATTTATAAGATTATTTCTTTGTTGCTTTGTATGTCCCTCCCCCACAGTATAACCCCTGCTTTTACTATATTTGATGTCAGTATAACTTGTGGAGGAGATGGGGAAAAACAAGTCATTTAAGGATACAGGTGGACCTGTAGCAACAATGAGAAGTACAAGTTGTCATGTCCAAAATGAGCTTTACAATGTCGGTGCGGGGAGGGGGGGGAGGAGAAGGATTGGGATTGGGGGGTAGGGGCGAGGCTGGGAAGGGATGTGAAGGGTAAACAAAGGAGGAGGCTGCAATGCTTGGTAAGAAATGTATGCATTATCCTGCCCATGTAATTGTAACCTCTCTGTACAGTATGTTCACAAATAAAAAGTAAAAAAAAAAACTTAGTTGTGCTGGTAGCTTTAGTATGGCCTTGTTTGTGATTATTTGGGTAGATGGCCAAAAAGTGGGATTGCTGGGTCATAGGGCAGCTCTATGTGGAGTCTTTTGAGGAACTTCCATACTGCTTTCCAAACTGGTTGAACAAGTTTACACTCCCACTAACAATGCAGTAGGGTTCCCTTTTGGCCACATTCCCTCCAGCATCTGTTGTTATTAGAGTTCTTAATTATAGTCATTCTAACTGGGGTGAGGGGGAATCTCAACGTTGATTTCATTTGTATTTCTTTTATGGCTAGAGAGGTTGAGCATTTCTTCATGTGTCTATTCACTATTCTTATTTCCTCTTCAGAGAAGTTTCTCTTTAACTCTTTAGCCCAGCTATTGCTTTCTTTTCTGATCTTATAAATCTTTCGGCTTTTACTAAAGCCACTTCTGTAGCTAGGATTTAACTGAATTTTGATTTTAAACTTCCAATGAACCTTTAGGAACTTGGCATCTTATTTTCTTCATACCTACTTTAAATTTACAAAATATATTTCTGTACATACAGAATACTTGTCCTAGTTACTTAACCTAAAATACAGGTGTTGATCTTTAGTATCAGTCAGCTCTTACATGATCAGTGGAATAGTTTCTTAAGATATATTCTATCTCAATAAAGCTTCATGTAGAGAAACAATAAATAGAAAAGATGAAAGCATTAACTACTATTTTTATATGCTTAAATACAAACATGTAATAAAAGCTTTGTTTCAGGGAATTAAGAATAGAGGTAAGTCCAGGAGCAAAGAGCACTCACGTTTCCCAGTGACAATAATTCCCTCTCTTAAAGTCTTGGGTTTTGCATTGGCAAAGATGTAGGAACAGAAGTTTTTGGATTGTACTTGGAAAGTGAAATCCATCAGGTCTTCTGGCAAGCCTTCAATATAAGCTAAGAGTTTTTTTTCTTTTGTAGGTCTATCAAAGACAAAACATTTGCGTTTTCGAAAGAAATGCTTGATACACTCCTTAAGCACATTGGCATTCTGGATTTTCAAACTCATACCTGTAAATAAAAGGAAAAAATGGGTTGTTGGAAGGGCAGCCATCAGACAAGGTGTTGAGTGTTTTCATTTCCATAGATTTTACCTCACTGTTTTAAAACCTCCTTCAGCCTAATCACATAATACTTCACTGCAAACCGACCTTGTGCACAGAGGAAAAAGACAACAAGTAATTGAAGATTAGGTATCTATCTGTCCACAAAGGGGGAAATTGATTAACCTTCCTAGTTCTGGTGAAAGTCTCATGAGTTAAGAATTTAACAAATGTTTATTGGGTGACTAGTAAAGCAAAATGGTTAGAAGTAGTTTTCTGATTCTACTGTATCTTTGTCAGAAATTAAATGTGAGGCTTAAAATTACACCAGCAATGGATAAGATGCTACTAGGAAAAATGTTGCAAAGAAGATACATAATATTCAGATCAGAACAGAAGAGCTGTTACAAACACACACACACACACACACACACACACACACACACACACACACACACACACACACACATGTATAAGAACCTCCCACAAATTGATTAAAGATTACTTTCACTGAATTTTTTTAATTTTTATTTTTACTGTGAAAATACCATACAGAGGGGTTACAATTACATGGGCAAGGTTCACTGAAAATTTTGAAGAGTAAAGTTAACTAAGATATAGAGTGAAGATCTTTAGCATAGGACTGTTCACTGGAATATTAAAACTGGTTTCTATGCGAGAGCTTGTTTAGCCTCTAGCTTCTCCTCTGTCATCTTCCTCTGGATGCTAGAGTGGAGATCTCTTAATTCTCTAAATTAAGGAATGAGGCTTTACAGAGACAATGTAAACACCTGCTGCATAAGAATTAATCAATAAATGTGGAAAGATTGAATAAAATAATATCTAAAAATATTGATAATCTTTTAAAATGCCTGAAACACTCCACTTTGATAATATGGTACATTTAAAAAGTATGAAATACTTAATTCATTAAGTATAAGGCTGACAAAGAAGAGAGTCATATCATAGGGAAGGTAAATACAAGATTGACCAAAGAAATATCAGGGCTTTTTCTTCAGTTGTCACTGCATGATATTCCTCCATTGAGGAATGTCAATGAGCTAGATACTAGAAAAATATAATGTGGAAAATAACTATGATTTAAAAATTGACCCTTTTCATTACATATAATTCTATGCTAAAAAGGTTAATTTTTTTTTACATTAAGCACTTACTTTTAAAAATAAACTTAATAGGAAGTAAAGCTGTGGCTCAAATGTAGAGCACTCGCCTTGAGCAGAAGAGCTCAGGATCAGCGCCCAGGCCCAGAGTTCAACCCCCATAACTGACAAAAAACAAACAAAAAATTAAAAATTAATGTATGGACCTTTCAATATCATAGGATGGATTATAATATGGATAATTTTTCTTTTTTGGGGGGAGAGGGTCCAATGGTGGTCCTGAACTCTGGGACTGGGCGCTGTCCCTCAGCTCTTCAGCTCAAGGCTAGTGCTCTACCACTTGATCCACAGAGCCACTTCCGGCTTTTTTTTCTGTTTATGTGGTGCTGAGGAATCGAACCCAGGGCCTCATGCATGCAAGGCAAGCCCTCTACCACTGAGCCACCTTGCCAGCCTGAGGGATAATTTTTCATGGTATAAAGTGAGCTTAAGTAATTTGATCCAGTATTTATGCCCTTGTTAGTGATTTTATATTCTACTTGAAGATTTTCAAATGATAACTCTAGAACAAAACTTCAAGTGTTTATGACATATAATCCATGAGAATTGATACAATTCTCTAAAACATTTGCTTACATGTACTGTTTCATTTAATGCTCTCTTGAAATACATTTAACTTCTTTAGGTATGAGACTTTTTTTCATATACAATAATAGAGGACTATAAAGAAGAAATAGAGTCATTACATTTAAAAAAAACCAGTCGCCTTTCAATAATCAGTGTATCATATTATAGCATACACACCCAATGGTGACTGAATCTTCCCTGCCACCCCCCACCCTGCCGCCCAGGGGCCTCCCTCTGATACCTGGAATAAACTTTAAGGCATTCTCTAGGTATTCATCCTCTGTGATGGGCTGGCCATTTAACTTCAGCTCCAGAATGAAATCCCGAACAGCCCAGACAAAGTCTGGAAAGAAACTCACAAATTCATCAGAGTCATCCATTTCATCAGACTTCTTAGTGGACTTTACCCTGATTAGCTCTCTTAGTTCAGTTACATAGCTGAGATCTTAGCTAAGGATTGAAAAGCAAAATACATCATAAACAAGTTTAAGATCTCACCTACAAACCCACTGATAATATTCCATTTTGTGTTATGTACCCTTCCTCAACCAGGAAAACCGAGTTACTTCAAGAAACAAGGTTAGCACTTTGGAAAGCAGTATGGAAGTTCCTCCAAAGACTACACATAGAGCCCCCATATGACCCAGCAATCCTACTTTTGGGCATTTACCAAAAAGATAAAAAAACAAGGCCATACTAAGGATACCAGCAAAACTGTATATTGCAGCATTATTTATCATAGCTAAGATATGGAACCAAACCAGATGCCCCTCAGTAGATGAATGGATCAAGAAAATGCTATATATATGTGTGTGTGTGAATTTTATGCCTCCCTTCAGAAAGAATGACATCACCCCAATTATTACGCCCAAAGAAACATAGGTCCCATGGTTTCCTTTAGCTGCATCAAATAGTGTATGTCTAGGACAAGCAGAACAGGTCAAACGCTATGTACATATGACCATATAAGATTATGTTAAGCAAAATGAACCCCAAGATAGAGACACAAATATATTTTTTCTTTCTTGCTATTGTTGCTAACATATTTAAAATATACTATGTGATTTTTTTGGTTTCTTTGTATGATCCTCCCCCATGGTATAACCCTTGTTTTCATTGTATTTGATTCCGATGCCCTGCATCTTGTATATACACTTCTCTAATTTGTGGAGGGGAAGGGAAAAACCAAAATGCTTCAATAGGTATACCGGTTGACCCATTTTAACCATGAGATGTAGAAGACACTACGTTGAAAAATGAACTTTACAATTTAGGTGGAGGGATAGGGGGAGTGTAGTTGTGAGGGAAGCAGTGGTAGGGGGAAAACAATGGAGGAGGCAACAATGATTAATAGGAAATGTACTCATTAACTTGCTCACCCTCTGTGCAATATCTTTACAATTAAAAACAAAGAATTAACAAAGTAATAAAAGAAGAGCTACAAAATAAAAACTAAAAAAAGAAACAGGGTTAGTTATCATTTTCCTAAACTCAATACGGCATGACTATTCTTTTCCAGGAAGGATACGACAGCTGCTCCAGGGCTTGCTGGTTGATGGTTTCCATACTGTTGTAGACAAAGGTGCTGCTGAGTAGAATGGACAAGGCAAAGATCCATGAGTCATTCTTAGGATTACCCTAGAGAACACATGAGAACAAGGGACAGTGAAGTTTACTTGTGTCATTCTTTCATTTATTGTTCATTTAGGACTACAGTTGAAATAGAGAATACAGAGAAGACCAAAATTGAAAATCATATCCTTAGTTTTGGGGCTAGGAAGGTGGCTCAGTGGTAGAGTGCTTGCCTTGCATGAAGGAGTCCCTGGGTTCAATTTCTCAGCACCACATCAGCAGAAAAAGCTGGAAGTGGCATTGTGGCTCAAGTGGTAGAGTGCTCGCCTTGAGCTGAAGATCTCAGAGAAAGCACCCAGGCCCAGAGTTCAAGCCCCATGACCAACCAAAAAAAAAAAAAAAGAAAAGAAAAACAAAAAAACCTATGTTTTTACTTCCTTTTCATCATTAACAGTGATTTTCCTCAAGTATTGGTTTCCTTAGGGTGAAGGTATTGTAAATGTGCATAAAATAGTTTCTACAGCAACTATATACAGGAGACCACACTATTAAAAAAACCATCATATATACTGTATATAAATAAATGCAACATTACAATGTCGGTCAGGGGGGAAGGGAGGGGAGAAGAAGGGTTAGGATTGGGGGGGTGGGTGGAGGCTGGGAAGGGATGTGAAGGGTAAACCAAAGGAGGAGGCTGCAATGCTTGGTAAGAAATGTACGCATTATCCTGCCCATGTAATTGTAACCCCTCTGTACAGTATGTTCACAAATAAAAAATAAATAAATAAATTTAATAAAAAAATGAAACATATGTGCACATATATCTAAGATGATCATCTCTGCCAATAATACACTAAAATCTTATTGTGTGAGAGAAAAGTTGACCATTTTAATAAATAGGAAAAATGATTTACATATGTGAGTGTCTCACTGGTATAATACCTGTTGTTTCAATGTGCTTCATTTATTTAAAAACCTGATAGAAGTAGAGATTAAAAGATCACACACATGGTAAAACTAATAGTAGACACATGAGAAATATTATAAAGTATAAGCCATACATATGTATCACATACTCATATCAATTGGCCGAAGCAGTGAGCATGTGTAAAGGGCTGAAAGATAGAGCCAGAATCAAGATTCAGGATGAGATGGATCATGAAGCATAAAAAAATAGAACTATGGGGGCTAGGAAGGTGGCTCAGTGGTAGTGAGCTTTCCTTGCATGCCTGAGGCCCTGGATTCGATTCCTCAGCACCACATAAGCAAAAAGAAAAAAGCCGGAAGTGGCGCTGCGGCTCAAGTGGTACAGTGCTAGCCTTGAGCTGAAGAGCTGTGGTACAGCACCCAGTCCCAGAGTTCAGGCCCCACGACCGGAACCCCCACCCAAAAAAAGAAAAATAGAACTATGTACTACTCAATTCCCACCAAGTTACAGAGGAGGTGAATAATTCTAGACAAAAAACAATTTATACTATGATATTAGATTTAAACTCCTCTTGGCCTCATAAGTGAGTGCTGAGATGTCCATATCCCTAGGAAATAGTCTCTGGCCCATATACCTAAATTATATGGCCACTTTTGGACATCTATAGCACGTGTACTGGTTATACAAAATGTTTGCTGGCTCCTGAATTAGGTCTTTCACTTTTAATGATGGATCTATAGAATATAGGATAGGGACATAGAAGTGACATCTTTAGTGAATATTTACTACATTGTATCATACTATCAGCTGCAAATAAAATTTCACCATAACAAAGACAACAAACTAAAAGAACTCTCAATATCCTAAGATGGAACAAAGCAAAAACAAGGTATAGAGACCAGAGTCCAGCTCAGTGGTAAGCATATAACTAGTATGTATGCAAGGCTCTTCTTTGTTCAATCCCCAATACCTTGCAGAAAAGCATAAATCAAAGCATAAATAGACTTTCTTTTATACTGATATGACTGCATCAATGAGCAGCTGACCGAGTAGAGAAAAACCCTTCCTTACAGAAGGTGTAGATGCAACCTGTGTCACAGGTAGAGTTTAATATCACTACCATCTCACATTAAGATAGCTATAATAGGTTGAAGTTGTAGCACTATTGTAGAACACTGTCTAAGAAGCACAAAACCCTGACTTTGATGCCCAAGAGTAATAAAAAAAAAGGAAGAATGGCTTAGACCTAGTAACCCACTTCCAAAAAACAGTCAGAAAAAGGATAGTTTTTTTAAGAAGAATAATACAACAAATATTGGGGTTTATCAGAGTAATGCAAAAAAACAATTTAGCCTCAATTCATAACTGGATTTGTAGTTTAGGGAACTGAAGTAAAAAGTGGATATTTAATTAAGGTGATACCTGGTAAGTTAAAAAACAAACCAAAGGAGAATTATCCATGATTTTGATTTACCTTCTCCACATTACCCAGACCCTCAGTGTCCAGAAGGACCAAGGTGAAATTTGGTTTCATTGGGTGCGTCACACACGACATCCAGATGCCTTTTGTTTGAGGTCTCACTGTTCTGCCCACAGGGAAACCTGTAACTAAAGGGAAAAAAATAATATGAGTGAGTTTTAAGTTCTGAGAATCTAATATTGTGAGATATTCTAAGATAATGAGCTAATAGAGATGATGTAAAATAAAAAGAAGGGAGCCTTCATAAGCAGAGGATTAATAGAACTAGGGACATATTTTCTGGAAATCAAGTACCAAATAAAATGACCTTATTTTAAAAAATCCCCCACATTGATCAAGATGCATTGCATTCATAAACTGTTTTGTTGAATGGCAATGTCTTTGTACAATGACTTGAAGATAAGAAAAATGAAAAAAAATAAATAAAATGAGGGGGGCCGGGACCAGGCCTGGGGATGTGGGGCCTGAGCAACACAACCAACTCCTCCCAACTGAAGTCAAAAGTTGAGCATACGCCTGAGCAGAGAGGAGAGAAACAGGGAACTGCACCCCCTGTGAAGCACACCTGTGACAACAAAAGACCCAGGGGCTCAGGACAAGAGAAGCCCAAACCCCACCAGAATCCAACCCATATATTCTAGGCTGGGAATTGGACAACACAGGCCACCAGTACCCGATAGTAGGCAAGAGCTCAGGCTGGTAAGGTGGCTCAGCAGTAGAGTGCTTGTCTTGGGTGCATGAGGCCCTGGATCTGATTCCTCAGCACCACATAAGCAGAAAGGGCCAGAAGTGGTGCTATGGCTCAAATGGTAATGTACCAGCCTTGAGCTGAAGAGCTGAGGGACAGAGCCCAAGCCCAGAGTTCAAGCCACAACCGGCCAAAAAAAAAATCAGGAGCCCATAGCAGATTACAGCATCTGGAAGAGTGCATCCAGAACATCCGATCTTGCCAAGAGTACCTGTAGGAGCAAACACAAGCAGTTTAGGCTGCTCAACCCTTCCAAAGTCGGGAAATGCCAGTGATCTACATCAGAGAGCCGAGAACCCTATGTGGGTCAGACAAGCAGCAGGAGGATGGCCCCCAACAGATCCGAGATCAGGTAAAGATTCTACCAATACAGAAACAGCAACCGAGCAAAGATAGACACCTATTGACCAAAACAAAATTTCAGATTAGTCTCCAATAATCCCTGAATCCCCATGCGAAAAACACAGAGAAAAATTACAAGGTTTATCAACACCCAGGATAGCAAGCTATCCCCAATAGCCAGCAGGCACCCAGGGGAGAACCCCAGTGGGAGCCAAGCAGGAATGGAAGATAAAGGCTATATCCAAGAGATGCTGGAGGCAATGACTCAAGAAATTGAAAGAACACAGGGTCAAAATATCGAAAGAGATGCAGGATATCAAACACAAGGTACAAGCAAAAATAGAGGCAGTACATACCTCATTAAGAGGTGAGATCAGTACTTTGAGAACCAACATCGAATCCATAAATGAGTCAATTTACTCCATACAAACCACAATGGAAGCTACAGTTAACAGAGTGAATGAAATGGAATGTAGACCGTCAGATACAGAAGACAGAATACACCAACTGGAAATCACTTAAATTATGCCAAAGGGAAATTCAAGAGCAAGCAGATAATTCCAAGAAATTTAACCTTCATATAATTGGAGTGGACAAAGGTGAGGAAGATCAAAGCAAGTGAATGCAACACCTATTCAACAAGATAATCGGTGAAAATTTCCCCATCTCAAAAAAGAACATCTTACCTACATAACAGAAGCATATAGAACACCTAACAAGCAAGAACCCAAGAGAAACACTTCCAGACACATTATAGTAACAATGATAGATCTGAACTATAAGGAAACAATCTTGCATGCAGAAAAATGAAGAAGGAACTATACTACAATGGGGAAAAAATTAGAATCACTGCAGATCTCTCCACACAAACACTGAATGCAAGAAAGGCCTGGGAAAGTACCATATGAGCCCTGAGAGGCAATAACTGCCAACCCAGATTGATATACCTGGCAAAGCTAGCATTCACATTCGATGGAGAACTGAAAATTTTTAATAGCAAAGAAAAACTAAATGAATACATAAACATTTAGCCAGCATTACAAAGAATACTAAGAGGGAGAACACAACCTGAAGAAAGCAACCAGGAACTGGGACCTGCACCCAGACCGGCATTACTAGAAGTAACTGCGCAAGCACAGGAGGAAAGTAAAGAAGAAAAACTGAGGAAAACAGGGAATGACAGGGACCACAATGCATCTCTCTATACTATCTCTTAATATTAACGGGCTTAATTCACCAATCAAAAGAAAATGAACTGCAGATTGGATCAGAAAACATGACCCAACCATCTGTTGCCTTCAGGAGACCCACCTCTCAGCCAAACATACAAACAAACTCAGAGTGAGGGGTTGGAAAAGGATCTACAAATCAAATGCCCCCAGTAAGAAAGCAGGTGTAGCTATCCTGATATCTGACAAAATAAACTTTTCCTTAAAACCAAACAAAAAGACATGGACAAACACTACATATTAATACAGGGAACAATCCAAGAGGAGGATATTACCATCATCAACTTATATTCCCCAAACACTGGTGCACCCAAATATGTTAAGCAAATACTCTCAAACTTACAGAATAAAATAGATCCCAATACGATAATACTAGGAGATTTTAACACCCCACTCTCTCCAAAGGACAGGTCTACCAACCAGAGGATTGGCAAAGAAGCTACCGAATTAAGTGAGGCCATACTTCAAGAGAAACTAACTCACATCTACCGAGTATTTCACCCTAAAACAACACAGTACACATTCTTCTCAGAAGCTCATGGAACTTTCTCCAAAATAGACCATATCCTAGTTCATGCAAGGAACTTAAGCAAATACAAGGGGATCGAAATAATCCCCTGTATCCTTTCTGACCACAGTAGAATCAAGCTAGTTCTCAATAACAAAGCAGACCACAGAAATTACTCTAATACATGGAAGTTGAACAGCACACTTCTTAGCAATGCCTGGGTAATGGAAGAGATCAAAGAAGAAATAAAAAATTTCCTACAACTAAATGAAAATGAAAATACCTCTCAAAGAAACTTGTGGGACACAGCAAAAGCAGTCCTGAGGGGCATATATATTGCCCTCAGTGCCCACATCAAGAAAATAGAGACAGATCAAGTAAATAATCTCATGTTGCAAATAAAACAGCTAGAAAAACATGAAAAAAATGGAACCTAAAGTTACTAGATGGAGCCAGATAACCAAACTAAGGGCAGAGATTAATGAATTAGGGAATCGGAAAACCATAGCCAAAATTAACCAAACAAAAAGCTGGTTCTTTGAAAAAATAAGTAAAATTGATGGACCATTGGCAAGATTAATTTAAAAAAGAAGAGAGGAAACCCATGTTAACAGGATTAGGTATGCCACGAGAAAAATCACAACACATATCCAAGATATCCAAACAATCTCAATGGACTACTTTCAAAAGTTATACTCTCTAAATGAAGAAAATCTGGCAGAAATGGGTGCATTTTTATATAAATACAAGCAAAGAAGAAGTAAATAAATTAAATAAGCCAATATCCTACAAAGAAATACAGGAAGCAATCAGAAGTTTTCCAACAAAAAAAAGCCCAGGATCAGATGGATTCACAGCAGACTTCTATAAGACCTTTAAAGAAGAACTAATACCCATACTCCTCAAGCTCTTCAGAGAAACAGAGAAGGAGGGAGCTATCCCAAACTCATTCTACGAAGCCAATATCACACTCATCCCCAAACCAGGCAAAGACACAACAAAAAAGAGAATTACAGGCCAATTACCTTGATGAACACAGATGCAAAGATCCTTAACAAGATTCTAGCTAACAGAATCCAGAAACACATAAATAAAAACATACACTATGACCAGGTAGACTACATCCCAGAGATGCAGGGATGGTTTAACACACATAAGTCAATAAATGTAATCCAACACATCAACAGAGCCAAGGTGAAGAATTACATGATTATCTCCACAGATGCAGAAAAGGCCTTTGATAAAATTCAACATTCATTCATGCTAAAAGCTCTGGAGAAAATAGGAATAGAAGGAACATTTCTTAAAACAATAAAAGCCATTTATGAAAGACCAATAGCCAATATTATACTTAATGGGGAAAAGCTACAACCAATTCTTTTAAAATCAGGAACAAGACAAGGATGCCCACTGTCTCCACTCCTTTTCAATATAGTCCTGGAACCCTTAGCCAGGGCAATAAGGCAAGAAAAAGACATTAAAGGGATCCACATAGGGAAAGAAGAAGTTAAACTATCCCTTTTTGCAGATGACATGATACTATACCTTCACAATACCAAAAACTCCATCCCCAAACTCTTGGAAATCATAAATCACTTAGGCAAAGTAGCAGGATACAAAATCAACCCACAAAAATCAGTTGCCTTCCTGTACACTGACAATGTACAAGTAGAAAGGCAAATAAAGGGAACAACCCCACTCACAATAACCTCCCAAAAAATAAAATATTTAGGAATTAACCTAACCAAAAATGGAAAAGAACTGTTTAATGAAAACTATAAAAAGTTAAAGAAAGAAATTGCAGAAGACACTAAGAAATGGAAAGACCTCCCATGCTCATGGACAGACAGACTTAATATAGTGAAAATGGTAATACTGCCAAAATTAATGTACAAATTCAATGCAATTCCTATTAAAATCCCAATGACGTACATCTCTGAAATGCAGAAAACAGTCCAAACATTCATATGGAACAACAAACGACCTAGAATAGCCAAAACAATTCTAGGAAATAAAAACAACATGGGAGGGATATCCATGCCGAACTTCAAACTCTAATATAGAGCTACAATAACAAAGACAGCATAGCACTGGCACAAAAACAGACCTGAAGACCAATGGAATAGAATAGAAGATCCAGAAATAAATCCACAGGCCTACAGTCAGCTGAGATTTGACAAAGGAGCCAAAGACATACAATGGAAGAAACACAGCCTCTTCAACCACTGGTGCTGGGAAAACTGGGCGGACACATGCAGAAACTAAAAGTGGACCCCAGCCTATCACCATGCACCAACGTCAATTCAAAATGGATTAAAGACCTTAACCTTATACCTGAATCTCTGAAACTACTTCAGGGCAGAGTAGGAAAGACACTTGAACTTATAGGCACAGGAAAAAACTTCCTGAATAGAGTCCCAGGGTCAAAAAAATTGGAGAGAGACTCTACAATAAATAAAATAAAAAGCTTAAAATAAAAAGCTTGTGTACAGCTAAAGCTATCGCAACCAAGCTAGAAAGACAACCAACTAATTGGGAAAAATATTTACCAGCAATATATCAGACAAGGGGTTAATATCCAGTATATACAGGGAATTCAAGAAACTAATCCCTCTCAAACCTAACAAATCAATTACTAAATGGGCAAGAGAACTAAAGAGAGACTTCTCAGATGAAGAAATAAAAATGGCAAAGAAACACATGAGGAAATGGTCACCATCCCTGGTTATGAAGGAAAAGCAAATAAAGACAACCCTGAGATACCACCTTATCCCAGTCAGAATGTTCCCCATCCACAAGTCAGCCAACGACAAATGCTGGAGGGGATGCAGAGAAAGAGGAACCCTATTACACTGCTGGTGGGAATGTACACTTATACAACCACTTTGGAAAGCAGTCTGGAGGGTCCTCAGAAAGCTTAAGATTGACCTCCCTTATGACCAAGTCAGACCACTTCTAGGCGTCTACCCTGAACAACAGGGACTAATATACAAGGACACATACACCTCCATGTTTATTGCAGCACTGTTCACAATAGCTAGGATATGGAAACAACCCAGATGCCCCAACACAGATGAATGGATCCAAAAATTGTGGTATTTGTACACAATGGAATACTATGCAGCCATTAGAAATGACAAAATAATGGCATTTGCAGGGAAATGGATGGAGCTAGAAGGAATCATGTTGAACGAGGTAAGCCAAGAGCAAAGAGACAAATGGTACATGGTCTCCCTGATAAGTGGATGCTAAATCCAAAATGTTAGGTGATAGAACAAAATTAACAGGACTTAAGAAACAAAGAACTCCCACTCATCTGGTTGAACAACTACTAAATATACCCATGCTGCTGATCACGTGTATAGTGTATTTGTGTACACCATTATATGTTATAGACTATGATAGACAATTTGCTCCAGGAAAGGTAGAATGAATTTGTGACTTTAAATGAACATCACTATCCCACAATACTGTGAATTTTGGGAAGTTATGTAATCACTTAATCACAATAATAATTTAAAAAACCACCAGAAAACTAGAAGTTGCATTATTGTTCAAGTGGTAGAGCATGAGCCTTGAGCTGAATTGCTCAGGGACAGCTCCCTGGCCTAGAGCTCAAGCCCCACGACTGACAAAAAAAAAAAAAAAGATCTTTCATGCGATTGTTTCTAACATATTTATAAGATTATGTCTTTGTTGCTTTGTATGTCTCTCCCTCATGGTATAACTCCTGCTTTCACTATGGATGATGTTGGTGCATGTGGAGGGGAAGGGAAAAAAAACAAATGGTTGAAACAAGCATACAAGAAGACCCATTAAAACAATGAGAATTACAAGTCCTTATGTCAAAAACTGAACTTTACAACTTTCCTGGGAGGGACGAGGCAGGGGACATATAAAGGGATGGGAAGGGGAAACAAAGGAAGAATTACAATGCTCGATAAGAAATGTACTCATTATCTGGCCCATATAATTGTAGCCCCTCTGTACAGGATTTTTACAATGAAAAAAAACGTTTATAAAAAAAACTATACATATTAGTATAGTATAATACTATATAGTATATATATAATACAATATATATAATTATTGCATATATAATATATACTATATGAAATAGTATTTATAGTATATATAGTATATGGTATATATACTATATATTATTTATACTACTATAATATTTATTATACATACTAATACTACACCTTAAGTTCTATGACAATTAAAATAATAAAATCAGTATTATTAGTAAAAAAAATAGAATAAAATAAAATGAAATGAAAATCACTTGCATTTAACAAAATAAGGAATACAAATGACAGTATGGGCAACAATTTTTGTACCTTATTTATAAGGCCTTTAGTTTGTAATTATAGACCCACTAAATTAGTAAAAATTATAAAGCATTCGTTTTTCTAGAAAATGAAATTTTTACAGGTTTCCTTATATCTCACAATCTTCCTTCATTTCACTTTTATAAACAAAGCATACTGGGTGATATTTGCATTGATTCTACAGCCTTAACAAAATTATGTCAGTGGGAGGAAGGAAATAATGACAGGAACTGAGTAGGTAAGATTGGATTGCACCAGAATACTATTCTTGAAGGTCACTAAACACAATAAGGAAAATTCCTGTTTTTTACAGGAGTAGGGTGAGACCTTATGAGTATGGATTTAAAATGATAAGCTTTCATGTCAATCTTAATGAACATTGCAAGTTTTTCCCTTAACAGGAGTCAGATTCTTCTTGATGGTACAACAAGCATGATTACCTTGCATTATCAAGGATCCCAGCAAATGCCTCCTGTCCTGGAAAACACTCACCTTGGTTGTGTCCTGCCAGGCGGTTCATCAGGTAGGATTTTCCTGTACGATACATTCCTACAATGGCCACCACCACCACAAGCTGTGTAATCGCTTCAAGAACCTTGACTGCTTCAGGGTTCACCATCAGCTTCTCTTTCTCATTTTCCACTAGACAAATGGGGGCCATCACAGTGGATTCTGATGCCATGTTAACCTGCAACCCCCCCCAAAAAAAAGAAGTAGAAGAAAGAATAAAAGATTAATAGAATACAAATCTAGTGGCAACCCCAGCAGCAAGTACAATCTCACTTGTAGTAAGTGTGTTAAGCTCTTTTTACAAAATTAATTTATTTTTAATAGATTTTTATCTTTTAGTTGCAGTAAAAAGGGGTTTCAATTCAACATGTCAGTTGTGAGAACAATGCATCTTGATCAACATTACCCTTCCTTCATTCTTCTCCATGTCTCCCAACCCCACTCATCCCCTCAATTTTCAACATAACAGCTCCTGGCCAAAATAGCTCATTGTCATAGGTACCATCCTATCAGTAAGGGAAAGGCTAGGCTAACTCTTTTTCAAGGATGTCTCTTAGATGACTCATTATTGCATAATAACTCTGCTCACACTCTGTTTGATAAAAATTGAATCTCCAATCACAAAGAAGGCTAAAAACATTTAGTCTTTCTAGTAGTCTGTTAAATATCTAGATGAATGCAAATGTTTTATTACAGTGGGGAAAAAAGAAGAAAAGAAATTGGAAGATGAAAGGTGTTCTCAGAGTAACCCTGAGGATCTCAAAAATCTTATAATATGCTGGTATAGAAAGCATACCACTATGGCAGCATAAGAATGGAAATACCATGATGGTTACATGAACAAGATATTAGTAGAATAAAACAAGGATGAACTAAAATAGAGTATAACATGACCAATGGGATAGAATTGAAAACCCAGAAATGAACCCACAAACCTATAGCCATCTAATCTTCAATAAGGAAGCTAAAATTTTAGAATGGAAGAACAACAGCCTCTTCAGTAAATGGTGCTGGCAAACGTAGTTAATCATTTGTAGAAAGCTAGATCCTTATATATCACCATGTACCAGAATCAACTCCAAATGGATCAAAAACCTCAGAGTCAAAACAGACACTCTGAAAACATTACAGGATAGAATAAGAAAAACCCTAGGTCTCCTTAGCGTAAGATGAAATTTTCTTAAAAGACACCCAGAAACAGAACAAATCAAAGAAAGGTTGGAGAAATGGTATTACATGAAATCTCAGAGCTTCTGCTTGGCAAAGGACATGGCTAGCAATATCAGTAGAAAGCCCACGGATTGGGAGAAGATCTTCACTAGCCATACAACAGACAAGGGTCTCATATCTAAAATATACCTGGAACTCAAAAACTTAAATCCCACAACAACAAATCATCAAAGAAACAACTGCCCTATAAATAAATGGGCTAAGGACTTAAGAAGAAACTTCTCAGAAGAGGAAAGAAGGATGGCCAATAGACACATGAAGAAATGCTTAACCTCCCAAGCCATAAAAGAAATGCAAATCAAAACAATATTGAGATACCACCTCACACAAGTTAGAATGGCTAGAATCAAGAACTCTAATAACAACAGATGCTGGATGGGATGTGGACAGAAGGGAACCTTACTGCATTGTTGGTGGGAGTGTAAACTTGTTCAACCACTTTGGAAAGCAGTATGGAGGTTCCTCAAAAGACACCACATAGAACTCCCCTATGAACTAGCAATGCCACTTTTGGGCATTTACCCAAATGATCACAAACAAGACCATACTAAATCTTCCAGCACAACTATGTTCATTGCAGCACTAATTACCATTGCTAAGATATTGAACCAACCCTGATGCCACTCAGTAAATGAATGGATCAAGAAAATGTGGTATATATACACAATGGAATTCTATGCCTCCATCAGAAAGAATGACATTGCCCCATTTGTTAGGAAATGGAAATACTTGGAAAAAATTATATGAAGTGAAGTAAGCCAGACCCAAAGAAACATAGGTCCCATGGTTTCCCTTATTTGCAATATCTAGTATATGTCTGAGTCAAACAGAAAAGGTCAGATAAGGTGATGTTAGGGAAATGAACCCTTAGATATGTATTCAAATGTTTTTTTTTCTTTCATGAGAATGTTTCTAACACATTTATAAGAATATTTCTTGGTTGCTTTGTATATCCCTCCACCACAGTATAACCCCTGCTTTCACTGTATTTGATGTCGGTATAATTTGTGGAGGGGAAGGGGAAAAACAGTCTAAATAGGGATTCAGGTGGCCCCATTGCAACAATGAGATGTACAATTACTTATGTCGAGAACGAACTTTACAACTTTGGTGCGGAGTGTGGGGGGAGAGCGGGGAGAATTGGGTGGGGGGGGTGGGGAGAGGAAGGGTAGGGATGGGAAGGACAAACAAAGGAGAAGGCTACAATGCTTGATAAGAAATGTACCCATTATCTTGCCCATGTAATTGTAAACTCTCTGTACAGTATTTTTACAATAAAAAATAAAATAAATTAAATTAAATAAAAATAAAAAGAAATAAACAGAAAAAATAGAAAAAAAGAAAATGTGGTATATATACACAATGGAATTCTATGCCTCCATCAGAAAGAATGACATTGCCCCATTAGTTAGGAAATGGAAAGACTTGGA